CATTTGAAGAACTTTTTCGTGTTTTACTTAGAAAGAGTTGAAGGTGAAGGAGAAGAATACTTTTCCTATATTACTTTTGTTTCCTAACTTACAAGTTAACTACGGCTTGCAAAGTCACAAGGAGGCATACGCGGCGACTATTGCAGCCCAGATAATGTCACCGGGTCGTCTTCGGAGTTTCTCACTTGTATAACATTTGAAGAACTTTTTTCGTGTTTTATTTGGTTTTGTTATTGGTATTTATCGTAGTCGAGTTTGGTACATAGTTACCTAACCTAAGTACCTTCCCGCATAGATACCGAGTGCTGAATGATCTTCAAGCATCATGACTCTATATATAGGAATAAATTCCGTGTGGTTGCAATGAATGAAAATGGAGGTATAACAGCCTCGGCACTCCTATTGGGTACTGTAGGTAATTTATATAAGTCGAAGTTTTCTTTGGGAATTATTTGGTATTTAAATATGAATACTATTTGGCTAGCACTTTAATAATATGCTGGATCGATGATTTCATAGTACTCTCTAAAATTTCTGTTTAGAAACTAATATGATCAATGAAAACCTTGAAATCGGATACCTTCTTCTCCTGATTACCTTAAAGTATCATGTTGATTCGTAAGTAGAATCGGCAGAATAGTCATTACTATAATTGAAACCTGAGTCTAGGTCAGTATTAATACAATCTTAAGCATTATAATCGGTGTCAATGCCTGCACATTCGTTAACATGCATTTTACAAGTTTAACGGTAGTTACTAGGCGATGGATTTCCATGTTTAATTCAAGCTGTCCGAATACCTAATTCAAATGAAACTCTGCGATAACCTGTATGACATTAAATACCTTGTCACCTTGTCATGGTTCTAGGCCATATCGGAACTAAGTGGTTGATCAGAAAAAATATCCCTATAGTTATCAATCGATCGGCTTGTCGCAATTCAGGCTCCCGATCACTAGGAACCCTAGGGTGGAAAATCTCGAAAATAGTTATCCTAACCCTAATTAATAACCTAACCTATCACTATAATTATTAAAGGCTCTGGAATGGTATACTACAATAAATGAGGTTAAGGTAATAGGGGAATCAAGGAAGCAACACACGAACTATTCTAGTCCCGGTCCAATGGTTGGGACCTCCTTCATTTTATGCCACAGGCCCCTTCGAGTGCGCGACTCAAGTTTGCGGCAGCTTAGGTAGAGTTGAAGTTGAAAGAGACGAAGACTTTTCCTATTTTACTTTTATTATCTAACTTACGAATTAACTTAGCTACTGTGACAATGTGAGTACACAGAAGTACTAGACTACCTAACTTACAAACTAACTTAACTACTACTGGGCTGTCCCAACAAATTAAGCTTTGGTTTTTATTTCATATTAGTATGTTACGTCAGCGGGCAATGGAGTCTGGGGCCTTTTTATTATTATTATTATTAATTTTGGGTTATTGATAGAGTAATCACATCTGGTTGGGCTGGATAAATATATAAAAAAATAAACAAACTTAAATATATATTTAATATATTAACTTAAATAAATAAATAATACATAAATAAATAAAAGCCCAACCAGATGGAAGCCCGTGGCAGGGGAGACCAAACGGCCGAGGGTTAGGGGGAAAGGGAAAGAAATCGGCGGACGATGCGGGCGGTATCGAGGAGCACCCTTCATGCATTTGAGCCCGGAGCGGTCCATCACGGAGTCCCAGTCGCCTGAGATGGCCCGAGAGGCTGACTGGGATTAACCCGTTTGCAAACACGACTACAGGAATAATTTCGTTTGGCAGACCACCATACATGTCGGTCGCCTCGTGAGCCAGGTCCAGATATTTCGATTGCTTATCTGTTTCGGCTTTCACGAGGTTTTCGTCATATGGAATGGTAATGTCGACCAAAAATATCCTTGACTGTGCCCGATATATCAGCACAATATCAGGCTTATTCGCAAGAATAGTCCTGTCTGTGATGATGGCGTTGTCGTCGAGACGTCGACGGTGCCATCCTTTAGAATGTAACTCCGATAGTTGTTGGTCTTAATGACCTGATCCTGTATTGCACAGACAAAACCCTCGGTTTCCCCGAAAAGGTCACCGAAACGTAACCAGTTTCGGGAAGCGATTGTATCTACGAAGGGCTCATGTAGAGCCCTGTAGTACCTCCCGTGGAGCTCCTTCTCCTTCCATACGGTCTTCTGGTCGGAAATGCTTTGTACTGCCGGGTCCTGCTATTGCTCACTGGCTAAGGATAGAGGGGTAAGCCCTTTATCACTAGAAATGTCATTATAAAATGGATCATCCGATCTCGCCAGGAAGTAATACGGAGTATGCACACTTTGCGATTATGCATGGTGAGCGCGGTCAGGAAGCCACGCCCACCACGCTTTCGCGGCAAGTACAGCCTCAGTACCGACGATCTCGGATGATGTATCCTATGGGACGTCATGATAGTGCGGACTTTTCTATCCAGGGCGTTAAGTTAAGTCTGAGTCCACCTGAGTATGTCAAATGTATACATGAGGACAGGCATGACCCAACCGTTATGTGCGTGTGTCTTATTCACAACGGACAAAAGGCTGTTAAGCACTTTGGTCAAGCGTGCATACGAGTAAAACACGTCGCAAACTGACTGTTTCATAACAGCCTCATCGATACCGATGTTCTGTGACATACCCAGGCATCGGTATGTTTCAGCCTCGGAAAGGGTCGTTAAGTTGACGAGCATAGTCTCTGAGGGAGTTAGCAACCCCTCCCCTTTCAACACACCGCACCGCACCGCAAACTTATCCATTCCCAGTTCCATTCCAATAGAATTGCTAAATTCACAAGTGATGTTTAGCAATTCCATAAGATGGGAGAGACTGGAGGCGAATAACTTGAGGTCATCCATATAGAAAATGGGCCACTTTCGTACCTCCTTTCCGAATCTGAAATCTCCTCCTGGAGCCCTCCATTAAAGTACTGAGAGGGTTCAGATAGCGGCAAAACCTGATTGAGCTCAGACAATCGCCCTGGAAGATACCCCTTCCTATCCTTATGTGGTTCTCCGCAGTCATCATCCGCTCGCCCAGATAGCAAAGGATCGTACTCCACTGCCCCATATACTGCTCGAGGAAGTTTCCAACTGTACATTCAATCTTATACAGCTAGAGGACTCTCTTTACCCATGTATCGGGCACCGATTTGAATACCTCGGACATCCACGAGTCAAGTGGACCTGACGGAATCCCCCCAATCGTGCTGTGGACGTGTGCTCCAGAGTTGGCACCGGTTTCAACGCGTCTTTTCCGGTACTCCTACTCCCTAGGCGTAGTCTCAAAATCATGGAAGACGGCTTTCGTCCACCCAATCCCTAAAAAAGGCGACCGCTCAGACCCGTCCAACTACCTGCCTATCGCCATCACCTCCTTGTTCTCGAACACAATGGAGTCCATTGTAAACTGCCAGCTCATGAGGTACCTTGAGGATCATCAGCTGATTAGTGACCGCCAATACAGTTTCTGCCATGGTCGGTCAGCTGATTTACTATATTATTTGATTCTGGTCCACCTAACTCACAGATGGGCGGAGGCAGTAGAGTCCAAGGGGGAGGCATTGGCCGTTAGTTTGGACATTGCGAAGGCCTTCGATCTGGTTTGGCACAAAGCGCTTCTTACGAAGCTCCCTTCTTATGGGCTTCCCGAGAAATTGTGCGATTGGATCACCAGCTTTCTTGCAGATCAGAGCATCAAGGTCGTTGTAAACGGTGCAAGCTCCGATTACAAGCCTATTAATGCTGGTGTTCCACAAGGATGCGTGCTATCACCAACGCTGTTTCTTCTACATATCAGTGGTTTGTTGCAAACCCACAACATTTTTTACTATGCAGATGACAGCACTGATGATGCTCTTTACACCGGCCGAGCCAATATTTCTCGGGAAAACGTCTCCGAGTGCCTCGACAAACTTGTGTCTGAAGTCGAGTCTTTGCTGAACAGAGTCTCGGATTGGGGGCGACTAAATCTAGATCAGTTTAACCCCCAGAAGACACAAGTTTGCGCGTTAACCGCTAAAAAGAACCCCTTTTGTCGTATCTCCTCAGTTTGAAGGCACTCACCTTGTTGCCTCAGCCAGTATCGGAATCCTCGGCGTAGACATATCGAGTGACGTGCAGTTTCGTGGTCACTTGGAAGACAAGGCCAAATTGGCCTCTAAAAAGCTTGGCGTGCTCAGCAGAGCGGGACAGTATTTCATGTCAGCACACCGTCTGCAACTTTACAAGGCGCAGGTTCGGCCGCACGTGGAATACTGTTCCCATCTCTGGGCTGAGGCTCCCCAATACCAGCTCCTTCCACTTGACCGCATCCGGCGCAGAGCGGCTCGAATCGTCGACGACCGAGTGCTTTCCGATCGCCTCGATTCACTGGCACTGCGAAGAGACGTTGCACCTTGCATTTTCTTTCGCATATACCATGGAGAGTGCTCTGAGGAATTGTTCGGATTAATCCCAGCCGCCAAATTACGTGAATGCACTTAGCATCATCAGGTGACATAACATCAGGTGACATCATCTAATTTAGCTCCAGGTGACAAGTGATTCTCGCACTCAAAATGGATTTCAGTGCCTTATATATGGTGGGTAGACACTTGATGGGGCGGTATTTGCTCGGGTCTGTGGTATCCTGATCTTTAGGAACCAAATGAGTGATCCCAGTAGTGAATAGGCTCGGGAGCGACTTCTGATCGAAAGCCTCTTTAAACTGTCCCACTACACACACAACCCCTCCAGCCAGTAGTGCAGCCCATCGAGCCCCGGACTTTTCCAGTTCGGGGCCCTACGGACCACCTCAGCCACGTCTTCAGGCGTTATGGTGACGGGGTCCATAGCCATAACACTTGCATTCTGGCTCGCCACAACTTCTATCCAAGGGCCTTCACTGTGGTTTACGGGCTCTGACCACAGGCCACGCCAAAATGCGACAGTGTCAGCCTGACCCGGTCCTGAGCCCGCTCCACATACCTTTGGTCACTCCAATGATTTATAGAGTCTCTTCTGATCACTCTGGAAGAGACGATTCTGGTTGAACCGCCTTGACCTCTCGCTGAATCGTCGAATCTGCTTCCCCCAAGCAGCGATTTTTTGCTTCAGTCCATCTATGCGCTCCGTTAGTTTCTGCGTGATATCCGGCTGTGACAAACTAATATTTGTCCCAGCAAACGCCATTCTAACGGTGCGCACAACTCTCGGGCTATTATTACCCGACCTGAAGCTTGTCAGTCTGCCAATAAGGGCCCTTGCCTTTGCAATACTGTCCTCGATTCTTCTTCTCCAGGCCGGGATGGCGCCACTTTTTTGAGTAGCACGTCCAGCCATGGGAAGTTTGGCGCTAATAATACGGCATACTGCCAGTGTGGCGCCAAAAAGAATTGAGTCCGTCTCGCAAAGGTCCCGGCTGACTTCCAGATAGGTCACTAGCATTGGGTTAAGAGCCCGCACGATTTTTTTTGTCAATATTATTAAATTTAATTATTATCAATATTATTCTAATTATTATTATTATAATCCGTTTAAGATCTTGTATCGATCTGTTTCACTTCTTTCCTAGATGTAATAATTATATTGTGATTTTTATTTTATGATAAGGTAGTTTAAATTAGTTTCGGGTTTATTGGGTCCTTCGGCTTTAGTTGACGTAATGAATGTAAGTAAATTTTTAGGCTTGTTGTTATCAAAGCTCTTAAGAAAACTCGTTGACATCATCATAAGCAATAGTTTACCAAGCTATTAAAAATAATTACTGCTTAAATAACAATTATAATTAATATTGGTGGTTATTAAAACTTTATGTATTGATTAAAAATATAAAAACAACACCTTGAAAAGAACTACGTACCGGATTATAGTGATAAATCTAATATTTTGCGTATTTTAATTAATCTTGCGTCTGCGAGATACATGATATTTTTAAAATTTTCTAGCATATTCTATATGAATATGCTAGAAAATTTTTAAAATATCATGTAATCATCGCATCAAGCATCGGGTAACAAACGAACACACAGTCTACCTGATGGTAAGTGGGTGCTGTGTGGCCCATAGATATCCACATTTATTCTCCATTAAGGACCAATATGCAAATGCGTTTTCAATACTGAGGACTAAGATGGAATGCCTGGATTCCTGTAAAAAGGGTCATACGAAATACAGCAGACTTACGCTTCTTTTTTACGCTGATATGACCCATTCATGCTACAACTATAATAAAGCTGCAGCGTGGCTCTCCAACTACAGAGAGGTGTAAGACAGGGTGACGTTATTTCCCCGAAACTATTTACCGCTGCATTGGAAGACGTTTTCAAGCTACTGGACTGGAAAGGATACGGTATTTAAATCAATGGCGAGTACATCACTCACCTTCGATTTACCGACGATATAGTCCTTATGGCAGAATCGCTGGAGGACTTAAGCACTATGCTCAATGACCTCAATAGTGCCTCCCAACGGATAGGTCTTAACATGAACATGGACAAAACAAAGATCATGTTTAATGTCCATGTCACACCTATGCCGGTAGTTGTTGGGAGCACTAAGCTCGAAGTTGTTGACGAGTACATTTACCTGGGACAAATAGTCCGACTAGGTAAGTCCAACTTCGACCGAGAGGTCAATCGACGGATTCAACTCGGCTGGGCAGCGTTCGGGAAATTACGACACATCTTCTCGTCAGGTATACCTCAAACTCTGAAAACTAAAGTGTACAACCAGTGCGTGTTGCTAGTGATGACATGGATCTGAGACGTGGTCCTTCACTGCTGGCCGTTTGAGGACGCTCAAAGTCGCTACGAGCTATGAAGACGTCTATGCTCGGAGTTTCTCTGCGTGATAAACTTAGAAATGAGGATATCCGCAGTAGAACCAGAGTGACTGGTATAGCCCAACGGATTAGTAAGCTGAAGTGGCAATGGGTCGGCCATATAACTCTAAGAAACGACAACCATTAGGGAAGAAGGGTTCTCGAGTGGCAGCCTCGTACCGGTAGGCGAAGTGTAGGACAACCCCCCACTAGATGGAGTGACGACCTGGTAAGACATGCAGGAAGTTGACGGATGAAGGTGGCTCAGGACCGGTGCTTTGTGGCATATCTTGGGGGAGGCCTATGTTCAGCAGTGGACTTGTGAAGGGCTGTAATGATGATGATGAGCGTGGCTCTAATATGTAATTTTTTTCTCTTGATTTGCTAAGTGACTCACAGTCCAGAGCTGCATTCTCTCTCTGTAATATGCCTCTCCCATCTCATAATCGTAACGCTTGGCTGACAGATTGGAGAAGTTCTAGATGATATCCTAAGGAATAGCATCCGGAATGGGAAGAAACATTTGTACTCGTAAGGTACAGAAATTGCGTTTTCATGTGTAGTTTGAACCTGCAGCTTGCAGCAAAGAAGCCGTAAGACCTGAAAAAAATGACTTCCAGTTCTTTAGTAAATTGTGAGATGTCTTTCTTACCACAGCTTTTATGTTGTAACGTCCTTATCCTGCCTAGAGGCAGCGCCGTATTTTGTTTGCCGCTCATTAAATTAAAAATGCAAAGTTCTATTCATCATTCAGCTCATTAAATTAAAAAAGCAAAGTTCTATTAATTACTGAAAACGGCCAAACAAAAAAATCATAACATGTTTAAATTTTTTTTGGACAAGCGAGTGCTTTTTTAGCCGAATTCAAAAGAAGGAGGATCTCAATGCGAGTTCTTGTTCTTTTTTTTTTTGTATGTAAACATGACTCGATATCTTTGTCAAATTTCTTCAAAAGTGATCTCAAATAAATTTAAAGATAGTGAACAAATTTTTGAATGTAACTTTTTAGACGGTATTCGAGGTTTTAAAATAAAATAAATCCGCACAGTAGCCTTAGAAGTTGAGATTTTAACATTTCTATACACTATGTCTTAGCACTAACTTGTGAAGCTGTAAAGCAAAAATAATTTTATTATTTTTCTAGTAATTTTCATCAAAAGTCTAATTTTTATAGATATAAGCGTGAAAAATATGCACACAATCTTGATGTTAAGTGAATGTTGTGGATCATAGACACCAATGCATTTCACCCCGAAAGATTATGATGGAATACATAGTTATTATTTAAAAAGGACTTTCATTATCTTAACCGTAGCGTTACGTTGATATGTCCTGCTCTTATTAAGTGCGGGCGCGGATCTTTCTCAACCTAACCTTATTGCAGCCATAAAACGTTGCAGCATGGCATCTACCACGTAAAAAATACCTCCGCAGTGTTAATGCTGTTCTCTCACACTTATCTGCGGGACTCGAGCTTAGCATATTTGAATGAATTTTCTATCATTACACTGTCATCAGACCCTAATATTTTTTTAAACAAAACTGAAGTGGAAAACGAACTTACAGTCTACCTAATGTTAAGTGGCTACTGTAGTCCATGGACATCTACATCTACATCTACAAGGCTACAGAGACTACAGATCAGTTTTGGCCTCTGAGGACTAGTTCTATACCACAAAACACTATAATACACAATAGAATGGCTGTCAACCTTATTTTGTACCGAGGTTCGGCGTCGCCGGGAGAACACGTAAAAGCAATTACGTCATATTATCAGTTAATCACTACTACAAACCCGATTCGCTGTATTGACAGACGGATTTTAATAGATACTTATTTGTAAATAACGTGCAATTTGGCATTTTCTAAATAATTTGCATGCGAAATTTGGAAACGATTGTAACGTCAAAACACATCTCGTGTCGACATTTATACGTGTGAATTGACGTCTTGTGGAATTTTAGTGGCTACATAGGCTCCGCCCACACTTCCGTTCTATTATGTATGTATTATAGTATTCTATGTTATATACGTTACAGAACGGAACACATCAACGCAAGCACTGCTATTACGTGGCAGTAATAGAAAAGAGGATGGTAGCTACGCAGACGGACTCCTAGGTTGAAAAGATGTTAAAGTGTAAATAGCATACATAATCAACGTGTGCGTGAGGCTGGAGCTTGTAGAAAATTTAATAACTTGGCAGTAACACCCCTAATTTTATATTACTAATTGAAATGAGATTATTGTGTCTGTGCTAATTAGAAAATTTAATTAAATAACGAGTTAAAATTTTAAGGTTCTTCTTGAGAATAACATTTTATTAATTATTTTCAGTCTCAAGTATTTTAATTGTTATGGTAATGATTCAATTAATTTAATGGAGGCGCTGACTTGTTATATATAAATTTGTGTTATGAATTTATTTTGCAAGTTGGCGCACAAGAATTTTACAATTAATATTAGTGATATAGCAACAACACCTGTAAAATGTATTTGGATTTTAATTATAACTTTGATTTCATACATATTTATGAAATAAATATTAAAAAAAACATAGAAAGAAAACATCTTTACTCCAGTTTAGAAAAAGAACACAAATTGTGAATACTTATTATAGGAAAAAAACAAATAAATGTGCTTCATTTATTTGCTTTAAAAATATTACATAACTACACCCATAGTAGATTTTAGCCTTTTATATAAAATGAATCTCGCAAGATTTGATCAATTATTTAAAACTTGATTAGGAGTATGCCAAGGAGATTGGAAGTAGTTCGGAGAGTTAGAGGAAGCAAGACTATATAGCATTTACTAAGAAATTATGAAAAAAATGTTAAATACAAAAATATTTCCTTCCTGTAAAAGTCTTCTTTTTTTCTTAATTTGGTTAATTTTTGTCATTTGATCGTTTAGTTTTTCGGTGTTTGCAATTAAGCAAAACAAAAAAAATAATTAAAACATAAAAATCCATCATATATTTTTGATAGTTGCCTAGCTAGGCAAATTCAGTTTCTTTTATTTATATTTTTATAAGGAAGAGGCTACCACTATTTCGTGGTGAGTTTTCCTCATTTGCCTCCAACGACACCCACGGGACGATATGGGGTAGTGGAGATTCTTACACCGCCAACACGGCGCATTACTTATACCTATTACTATTCAATGATACTATCTTTGTTGTTTAAATATCAATTTTTTAAGCCCATTAATTGTGACCAAGTTACTTTTATTTTGCACAACACACATAGCTATTAATTTTTTTTACCCTTTTGTCATTATCATCGTCGTGACACAACCACTATTTAACATGGATCTTCTCTAAAGATTGTCATAAAACATGGCACACGGCCGTTTGTGACTAGGTATTCACTTGATCTAGTAGGGAGCGGCCATAAAACCCGGTCACTGGCACAAAGATGCAATTCAAGAACCAAGAGCCTCTTTAGCATACTTATCCGTTACTTATATGTCAATTATTTGGATATTACTGTGAATGTCTTTGTTAAATATTCTATCACGCAAAGAATACTTACGCAGCTGGACGCCTTGAAACTTCTATATTTGGCCAAAAGTGTAAGACCACGTTTTATCTCCTTAGTTCATCACTTGTAGCTATCAACGT